AGCAGGGTTGGGCATAATACACTAAAAAATGAATGCTATACATGCTATTTTTACCTTCCTTTTATTAGCTCGGGATGTAACTATAGGTTTGTTCGTCGAGCAAAAAATTTGTACGAATTTGTACGAATTATCACGATTTTTGCCCAAATCGCGTTCGTGCAGACCAAAAAATTATCCAACACTCAAAAATTGTGAGAGCAAAGTGACAGTTCTCTTGGAGAGAAGTTGCAAATTCTTGCTGGAAAAAATTTTGCCAGCAAGAATTTGCAAACACGAAAAACATGTGGTTGTGCGTGGTGCGTGGTGCGCATGGTTGCATTTTTGTTTACAATAATTTGAATAAATTAGTTCGTTAAATTTAAAAATTTATAAACACGAGCGATTTTTTTATGAAAAAAGGAAGTAAATAATTGTTGATATAATTAATTTAGTTAATTCCAATGATATGAACTTAATTCGGCTGAAAAAAATGGTATTCGCAATCGGAATGCAATTGCAACCAGAGTCGATTTAAGAAACCCGACAGCTAGTACGATGAAGAAATTGAAATGTATGTTAAAGAAAGTCAGAACAACAAGAAATATACATGTATATCCTGTTTTTGGCCATCCGAAAGAATTTTAAAAATTCTATAAAAATTTTTTATGTTTGAAATGCAACCGTGGACGCCAGCTGGCAGCGAAACTTGCAAATTCCTGCAAATTTGCGTTCGTGCAGAAATTTGCAAGTTTCTCAACATGAGAGAGAATTTGAGAGAATTTTTTCTTACTCTCTGATATTTTGAGTGTTGGATAATTCTTGCTGGATTTTCGACGAACAAACCTTATGTAATATTGATGCGCCTAAAAGATGCAGCGATTTCTTTTCTCTAGTTACATACCTGATGACAGTACGAATGGCAATTATAATAGGGAGGTTTTAGTTTTTAAAGCTATATTTTTATATTATCATAAATGCTATACGCTTTTCACTACGTCTGTCTGTTCAGTGATACTCAAAGTGCAGAATCAAATACACTGAAAATTTAGTGATATTTCGTTTGTTCCAATAGCAGTCCGGTTTACAGGATTTAGTCAGAACTTACAGGAAGTCGTTCCTATTGACATAAAACTTGTAAGTGGGAACACTTTTGAGAGAGAAGCTGAGCAACTGTTCCTAGTCAGAAGTTACAGGAGTTAGTCCGGAGTTTTTTCCTGTAAGTTCATGAAAGGTGTCAAACGATCAGCTGATTTGCATGTGCATACAGAAACAGAAAGCGGTGAAAGAAAAGAACCTTATATATGTAAAAAAATTTAAGTTAACAACGAAATATTTGAATATGTATAGATTTTATTAATTATTTAGTGATATTTCAGCCAAATCAGTTTTGTACCAATGACATGTAACCAAACCAACTGACGTTTTTACAGGAAACAGTTAGAGCGTTCCAGCACGTCTACGATTTGCAGGTTTTGCAGGATTTAGTCCAAAGTCGTTCCCATACTCCAAAAATTATGTATCTGGGAACACTCTCGTGAGAGTAACTGAGCAACTGTTCCCAGAATGAAGTTTAAAGATTTAGTCCGGAGTTTTTCTTCTGGCAAATTCATGAAAAGTGTCAAACGATAGGTAGAGTTGCATTTGTGTACAAAAACAGAACGCGGTGAAAGCAAATAACCTTACATTTGTTAAAAAATGGAAGTAAATAATGAAATATTCGAATATATATGCAATTATTATTAATTATATAGATTTTAATAGTTATTTAGTGATCTTTAAGCCAAATCAGTCTTGTACTAATGACAAGTAAACAAACCAAATGACGTTTTTGCTGGAGTGCTGGAAAAAATTTGCGTTCCCGTACACTTCTGCATCTGTTCTCCTGTTACTCTCACTAGAGAGAGTAAAATTGTAGTTTGACATTTCCACAGGTTTTAGTCCGAAAAGTACTGGAACAAACTAAGTGCTTTTTGCGTTCCCGTGCACTTCTGCATCTGTTCTCCTTTTACTCTCACTTGAGAGTAAAATTGTAGTTTGACAGTTCCACAGGTTTTAGTCCGAAGTTCAAAGGAACATACTAAGTAAAAAACAATCACTATCACTAAACCCTTACGCCGAATTTCCACCAGGCATTAAAATTACAGAAAATTGGAGGCATTTAAAAAATGCCATGTGGAAATGAATTTAATGACTGTATTTTTAACGTAATGACAAAAATATTTTTAAATGCACAAGTTTTTCATTACAATTTTTGCTATTTAATGCCTAGTGGAAATCCAACATTAGTGATAGTGAAAAAAATCCACTATCACTTATTATTTAGCGATAGTGAATACCTTAATTGATAATTAACATTTCTCAGTAAAATAACACTGCTTTTGGCTGTAAAGCAGTTTAATTGTTATGGCTAGGGAACGGGTTTTATGGAAATATCCTTTTTTTCTGCCAAAGAGATATAGTATATTCGACTAAGAATGTCCACGATTTAGCTTCCCCTGATTCCATATATACTCATTGATGTTGCCTTTTTTAAGACATTTGCCTTTTATATCTTTGATTGCAAAAGGCAAGGAAAAGGGTCATATTCCTGATAATATGAAAGTTTTTATTTAAATCTATATTTAAATATTATTTAAATATTTATTAGGAGAAGACGCAAATCATTTCCGTCTTGATATAAACGTCCCGAGAGATGAAAAAATATAAAAATCCCATATAATTATTATGAGAACACGTAAATAATTTCCGTCTGGAAATAAACGTGTCGCGAGACGAAAAAAATAAAAGTCCCACATAATTATTATGATATGACGAAAATAATTTAATAATTTTGGTAACATACATTTTGTAACCGGTAATTAAAGTGTCTGTCAATTTTTAAACTTTTTTCGCATTCTGTGCTCTCTTGTAACCGGTAAATTTGGTTACCATCTCATAAGCTGGTAACATAATATTGCCCCGAGAAATATGCAATACAGGAATTTCCACAAATCTTCATAGCTGAATATTTCCACTGCATAACCAACGTACCTAGAATCGCGGTGACAAGAAGTGGTAACATTTTTTGGTAATTTCTGGTCACAAAATCTTCGGTAACGTGCAGAATAGACCTGTTATTATAATCGGTATGGTCTATGATATAAAGTGTGCTCGACAATTTCGAATTTTTTTTTTCTTTTTACATACATACATTAATACTCAGTAGGGGTTTCGCCATAAAATGATAATTTTGAACACTATAAATAACTTGCGTTTAAATAATTTTAAATCTTTCATAATTAAGTTTTTATTGGTGGATAAAGTTTTTAATAGGTGCTGGCCGAAATATATAAATGGATCGATGGATTTCAACGCAACCTCAGTGGGGTTGCCGCTGGGCACCGCCACTGAAATGAAAATGTAAATTATGAATAGCAACTACTTATCGTCAAGTGCTATGAAGTTGAAAATAATATAACTTCAAAGTACCAGCAATTAAGGGCCTTATTCTGTATCACGAACGATAGGCAAAACGAACGATTCGTCTGCAGACGACAACCTCTCAGATTGCGATTTTAAACTCTATCGGTCGCCTTCCTCTTGCTTTTCATACATTACGTTGCAATGGTCTCGGTAGCGTTTAAACAGGTTAAAATGATGCCGCCGGACTAATTTTTGAAGCATTCCTCTGCAGACGAATCGTTCGTGTTGCCTATCGTTCGTGATACAGAATAAGGCTGTAAGACTTTATTGTAAATAAGCTGACAAAATAGTTGAAAAAAGAAATAAATTATCAGTCAGGTTCTCCAATTCACTTCCGAGTGAATTTCAACCCCTGCCTATTTGAATAAAAGGCGAATTTGATAGAAGTGAATTGCAGAACCAGCCTTTATCTCAATGAAAATTTCCGCGACAACCACAAAAATGCAGTTGCCAGTATAGTAACTTAGTAGCCAGCTTTCAGTTGCCAGTTGCCATCCGTAATCGACCCAGAAAATATATTCTTTTCGGCTGAATCTTCTACTTACCAAATGTAATATTAGGTACCGGTCCTGCTTCCAATACTCCCAACCCTATTTTTGACATGTGCTATAATAATCTATGGTTTGTAGAATTTATCTGAAAACAATTGGCGATTTGGTAATACCAAACAGATTCAGCCTTATTATGAGTAAAATTTTCGCCAGAGCCGGTTCACTTTTGAATTTTCGCTTCCGCGTGTTAACTATGGACGGATGAAAAAACTTCGGGTGGATTTGTTTTCGGCCGAAACTCAGGATAAGGCTAATGTATTCTCTTCTTCTAAATTCCGTTCATAAATAAAACATATATATATTTTTTTTGATTTATTAACGTCGTATGTACATACATACATATCTATATAGTTTATTATTTTAATGCTAGCATTTTTTCGGGCATTATGAAATTTGCAAAACGTCTAACAATGCACCTGCTGATCCTTCGCAGTTATAAGTCAAAAAAAAACAAACACTTTAAATTTACGAAATTAAACATAGAATGTA